CGCTAACTTCTGAGCCAGTGTCGACGAGGTAGCGAACTCTCGTTGTCACATCTGTGACGTATAACAGACGGCTATGTTCGCCGGCTACGGTTCCCATTGACGCGTGCCGGCTTGGAAGTTTCCCGAGGTGTTTTTTGAGTCAATCGGTTTCGTGTTGGGAAAATTGCAGGGTTTTCTGCAATTTCTGGAAGACTTTCCATACTGGTTATGATACAAGCACCAGTCGGGGTTATCCGTCTCTCGTGTTGTAGAGACAGGTCGCTTACGTGAAATGCTTCTACGTGGGGTGTGCAAGCGATTACGGTCGGTACGAAGACTAAGATAACGCGTGAGTGTATGACATAAATCGGTTATGTCATTCTGAGTCGTGTGAGACTTTTCTTTGACTAAAAATACCTCGGTAGTAGATTTCGATCGGTTAGGTCTCCTTGTTTAAGAATCGAACGTTTTAAGATTTCGTAAGGATCGGAAACATCACTAGTAAACATACTAGGTGTTACGTACCTGTTGAATTCCCGCGGTAGCGCCTTGACTACTGCGAGGAATTGTGCACGCGTGTCGATCACGCTGTGCTCGGAGAAGTCGGCTTCTGCGTAGCAAAACCAGGCTTCGATGTTGTCGGGCCAGAAAGGCATGAGTTGAAACGAAGGTGGGGACAAGGTCTTAAGCTTGAGTACTTTAGGTGTCTGTTCAGTCATGATGAAATATGAAGTACGACAATGAACGAGAGGAAAATATATATATATCCAAGAAGAAACACGAAAAAAATCACAATGTTTGAAAAAATAAAAAAATAAGGCAATGATATATAAAAATCCCAAAAAGGAACAGACTCACAGTTGCAATAAGGTGTACCAGATCACGACGGTCTCACCAATGATGATGTCACAGGTATTCAGTGTTTGACAACGCTTCTACCAGTAACACCTAATGTATTTCGTTCCCACCCAGAGAAATCAAAAGACAGAGTCGAGGAGATCGGAAGAGTATATTTGGCGTCGACCAATATATCGGAATTCTCTGATCTAATCTGGCTAGCGATTGCGGTTGATGTTGAGCACGGCGTTACCACACGTGATCTGGTGCGGATGCCTGACCGAGTGCCTTCAGCTAGATGAGTCCACTAAAACATATGGTCAGCATCCAATGTCGAAAACCTAGAGCTATTTATTTTGGGGATTTGTTTACCGCTACAGAACCATTTGAACTATTTGAATGATGTTTATAATTTCAAAAGTATAACGACATTTGTAACCACCGGACCTGTAAGTAGAACAAATAACCGATACACATATAAGAACACCATGTATTCTCACAGAAAAACGTTTGGACTAAATGGAATCCACAGGTTGAAAACCGTCATTCTTCGACAGAAACACCGAAACGCGTAGGAAATTCGATGGTCAATAGAAGAAAATAACATTAATATCACCAAATGACACCGACTATGAATCTTTTAAGGTCACTGATGGTCTCAAGACTGGAAGAAGGAGGAGGGTTGAGGATGAAATCAGCAACACCATTCCGTAGAATAGACTTTGTTAAAAGACGCCAACCAGAAAAAAATTTTTAAAAATTTCGAACGCTGTCTTCGAAGTTAGAGGACTTTCATTTAGAAGAATTATAATGCCCCATAGTGAGATTCGAGATTCTTTGTAAGTCACGAGACCGATGCCCCTCCTAACAATCAGAGCAACAATATTTAGTGGTTCATGGAACAATATGGGAGAACAGAAGGACCAATCAAATAGCCGCGGAAGTGAGGAGATGCAACTCAGTGGTGCTCAAAATCAGTGAAACCCAATGGACTCAAGCTGGACAGAAAAGGATAGATTCGGGAGAGATGCTGTCGTACTGTGGTCATGAAGAAAAAAATGCTTCGCACATATAAGGAGTTGAAATAATGCTGTCCATTGAAGTATGTAATGTACTTGCAGAATGAGAATTTCAAGCATCCGGAAACGTCAAAGGATCATCTAAAAAAAGAAGTAGATCACAATGAGTGTTATTCAATGCCACGCACTCACCAATGTTGGCAGTCAAGACGATAAATGACAAAGATGTGGAGAGATTTACAAATTTATGTGCATCAAAAAAGGTTTTAAATTGCACTATATCCTCTCACAAAACTATACACATACGGTGGACCAAAAAGTATATTACCGAAAAACAGCAATAAAGTTATTACATCCAAAAGTTAATGTAGCAATAAACAACGCATAAGATAATAACACAAATAAAAGTCCAGGGACGTTACTTAAATCAGCAGGTTGGGGAGTGTCTTGTTGATTTTGGTACCAGAATCCACAATTATAGGTAAATAATAATTCCAATGAGACGATATGGCTCAAGTAGTATATCCGAACGTAGAATGTAATGTGAATGTTACAACAGTCTATAAATATAGATGATAGTTAATTAATCGTTCCGTTATCACATCCACAAACATGATAAAACAGGAGACGTATGTATGGAAGTGTATTTAATTATGAGCAGTTAACAATGTCATGCTATGTGGAATTCAAAAGCAGAAGGAAGAATGTAAGTATCCAAGGTTATATACTTAAACAACAAGTGCAATCGATTAATGATAAATGTACAGATTGTGAGAATTGGCAAAATAAATGCAAAAGATATCAAAAACTATTTACAAAATAGGTCTATTAAGTCTATCTCTACATATCTCCCCACCGAACCAGATAGATCACATTTCCATCCTTAAGGATATTTAGAAGATCGGTGGAAGACATCAGATAAAAGAGAGCAGCCATCATAGGTTCAAATCATGATGATCGAGATGAAACTGAATTTAATGAAGCACTGAAAAACCGAAGAAACAGAATTACAAAGCTTAAAACAGACTTTCCTAGAGATAGTGAAAAACTCAGTGAATTTAATATAGCTCTCAGCAACAAGTGTTAAGCTTTACAAGATCTACTTAAAAGGGGAGATAATCCAACATGGGCCTCAAGAATCACTGGTCAAAGACACCGAAGCAAAAGAAAGAGTGGAGAGGAGCATTATAGACGATAAGCGAAGACAAATAGTAAGGAATGCAGATAAAGCTGCAATAGAAGGACATATGAGACGGCTATGTGGCGCAACGGAGAAACTAGCAGGCAGATATAGCAAACTGAAGAGACCACTCAAAAAAAAGCAAGCCAATCACTGAGATTAAGGATCAGAGAAACCGGTAGATAGAACACTTTGAAGATATACCGATCTCACCAAACCCATTGAACACTGAGGTAACAGCTAGAGATTTTCTATAGAGGTTACCCCACCAACAGACGAAGAAATCAGTATGGTCAATAGCGGGATCACAGCAGGACCTGACAGTATACCAGCTGAAGGGCAATTAATCAATATATCAAAGAAAGGAAACCTCAGCAAGTATGTGAACCACAGAGGCACCACATTGCTATCAGTACCAGGAAGTTTCCAACAATGTTGTTAAACCGAATTAAAGATTCAGTGGATGCAAAACATCGAGATCGATAGGTTGGATTCCGTATGGATATATTGTAGACAGATCAGACAGCAGCACTACGGATCATCGTTGAACAATTCGCTAAATTGAACCAACAACTTTTTTTAGTTAACTTTGCTTCCAGTTTTTCTACGTACTTGGTATTTTCACAGTTAATCACTTTGAATTTTGTAAAGTAATAAATTACTTTGAACGGGCAACGAAATTTGTAATTTGAACTATTAATCCAGTTCATCGAGGAATGACAATAAATGTTTACACTAGGTTTCACCAGAACATACATTCATCGTCATTTATAAAACTTGTATTAGTTGATATTTTCCATGTTTATTTGCATAGTGTATCAGTGCATCTATGGACAACTCAGAGGCACACAATATTAAACATAAAAACGTTAATATAAAATTGAACCTGAAGGTCCAAACGAAAACAGATTCATGACGGTAATGGACAGAAGACAGCTCTGTAATAAGCCGTCATCTCAACACCCTTAACGTATCAAAGGCTTTCTTCAGTAAACGTTTTAGAGATTTGAACAAAATTCATAAGGATTTCAGTATTATCTCTGTAGTGCTTTCAGCTTAATATAGTCTGTTCAACAAATGAGGCAACAAAACTTGGGATTACACACAGCCATATATAATATAATAATACATATTAGAAATATTGTGGTAGCTAAAAAGATTTATGGTTTTCATTATGAACTGACATAAGCTATAATTCCAAAATTCTATTCAGTTAGATGAATTAATTAATTTAACGCCAAAAGCCAAGACCCGTTATCGTAAAGCTGACTGGTCCGTCTATAAATTGTAGTCTCGCCGATGGAGACACTCCAAACATCAGTAAATTTAAGGAGAGGCTATCTTTACTTCGAAAAGAATTTACAGCGATAGTATAAGTTGACTTGAGTTGGTCATAGCTCAGATTTCGAACAGTTCCAAGTAATTCTCAAAAGCATTAAAATCTGAGTGTATGTACAAATATTCCATCACAGGCTCCATCCGGACGCCAATGTGATAATTAGAAGTATTTGAGTCATAGTACATACTAGGAATCCCAGAAATAACGCATTTGGAACAAGAAGTACTAGATAAGCACGAAGGAATGTACAATATTTAGAATCGGAAGTCAAGCATTCCACAAGTGCAAAGGAATCGTTAGTTCATACAAAAACCACAAATCGATTATTTCTTCTCAAGTTTTCCAAAAGGTCATACTTAGTTTAATCAGCTTTCCTTTATTTTCATATTACAAGTCATAGCAGATGGATGTATTATCGGACTGTTCCAAATGTGTATTGTGCAATTATGTATTTTATGGATTAACTTCGTCTTTGCTTGGCGCTATTCAATCTTACAGAAAGATTTATTATTATTATTATTATTATCTTCCCTACTTGCATTTAATAAATAAATTGAGTACTGAAAAAGGAAATAAAGTAACTATGTTGTACAATAATCGTGTGGTCGATAAGTGAACTGTGTATTCTGATCATATGAAAAAAAATCGAAAGTGCAACGAATAATTCCGCTGTACAATAATTACATAAATGTAGCATCGCTAAAATGGTTTAGAGACTAATTAAAATGACGGTATATTCCTATTTAGTTATATTATTTATTCTTCTTGATAACTATTGTTCCGCATACGGATATGGTTATTCATGTAAGTTATATATATGCGTTTCATATACATCTATATATTTAAAAGCTTATTTTGTGGTTATAATTATGCCAGAATTACATTTTACATTTAAAAATTGTTTTTGAAATTTATCTTAACATGGCAAGAAAAGAAATTGTCTATGTCGATTTAAATATCCTTAAGGACAACTTTTCGCCACTAGTTATTTAATTAGGATGGGAATAATATTGAATTACACTACATATATGACTATTTTGTTTAGGTCTTTAAAAAATAGGGGTCTGAAGTAGAATTGCAATGAAAAAAAGCATAATGTTACTCAAATAACATAGAGCTAACAAAATTAAGTAACGCATTAGTTTCTTGTTATTTGCAAGTATTCCGCGAGGGAATTCCTACACCCACTTCAGGAATATTGTTTGCATACTTAGGATTGCTTTATTTTAATTAATTTCTTTTACACTTTTGAAGTAATCCAGAGAACCATTCTGACTGACCATCGAATTCCAACAAATGTAATGTTTGTCTATTGTTTACTACTAACCTTATTCTCCTGACTGATTTTATAATGTGATTATTACTGTAAGTGAATCTACATTGGACGCACTATAGTTTGAAGTTAGAGAATACTTATAATCCAGAGGACTTTTTACAACTTTAGTTTCACTAGTTTCATTCTAATATGTGAACATACCTACGTTTTCTTCAGTATTTCCTTATATGATATTCTATGAAGAACGAGCGATTTTTTCTTTGATTAATAAAGAATGAATTAAGTTTCTTAAATGTGTAAAAATAAGAAAAGTTGTATATTCTAATATCTGATTGCTAACGACGATACGACTGTTGTGTATAAATATTTGTTAATTAGCATAACTTAGTAGTCTAATAGTGTTTTAAGTTTGCAACTGATAAGTTTATGACCAAAAGCTTTCAAGAATCACTTCTACAAGCAAACGTATGTATAGAAGTCTTCAATAAGCTTCATTTGATTATGAACCTCAAAAAAATATTGTGGAGATGTAAGTAACTAAATCTCTGTCCGATGCATAGTATAATACATAAAAACAGTTTAATTTGTTACTTTTTCCTATCGTTCTGTTAGAAAAGAGTGAGTTTTTAATGGATACTATAAAAATCTAAAGAATACATTAGTAGACAGATAAATGTTTCATGTTTTATGGTTTCACGTGGAACATTTCTTCAGGATTATCGCCTACAATATCATACTTAGTCTGAATTTATTAGATCAAATTTGAGATAGGAATTTATAAAGAATGTAAACCTTACTTATAGTTGAAAATGTGTGCAAGTTGGTTAAGTAAACATTATTACAAAAGTAAGCTAAATAGGAAATAAAGTAGAAATCAAAACCAATAAATACTCATTGCCAAAAAGCACTATTTTAGTTTGCTATGATCATGAGTCAACTGCTGAGATGACCGCAATTATGGTGGTTGACTAATAATAACAAGTAATCACATACAGATGATCGACAACAGATCCCAATCCTGAACCTACTGAGAATATTTACTGATAAACTTCTAAATATGCTACAATGATAAATTTAGGCGAATGATTGTATAAGTACCACAGTATTTTATTTAAAATTTCAAGAGAATATAACACATACAAGGATATAAGATGAATAGTAAGTACGGGTTTCTGTTACACAGTATGGTTCATACTGGAATATACAAAACTGTTTAAAACCTTAAGAACATTTAGTGAAATAAAAACCTTGAATATCAGTCATTTACTTTTTCATTTTAACAGCTAGTAAATATGTAAATGAAAATTCTATAATGGTAAACATATTTATTATAATAAATAAATTTATCAAAAAATATGTTTACTTCTGTTACAACCACATAAAATAAATACTGTAAGTTGCATTGTGTTGTCTAATGTTTATCTAATACTCATTTGGTAACTGACTGTCAAATAAAGATTGAATGAATGACTTTTTATGTTTTATTAATACGTTCATTAGATCATCGACGCAGACGTTTTGATCCAGCTATCGCTACATTTACAAAAGAACCAGTTTTAGGTTCGGTGTGGTTTACACAACATGGAGATTTTATGTACCTCAATGGGAGTGTGGCAGTACTCCCACCCGATGCAGTGCTGGGTGTACATATTCATCGTTATGGAGGACTTGGAAACATGTGTCTTGAAGCTGGTCCTCATTTCAATCCATTCCACCAGTAAGTTTAAGATCCGCTTACCCTCGGCAGCAATTTAAATTTTGCTCCGAAATAACATCATGAATGATTTCTAAAATTTACTTTGAACATACGAAAGCGACAATAGTTCTGGTTTTATTCAATATGTAATAAGCTATAAGGTTTCATTTTGTATATTTCATATTAAACATGTGAAATACATATTAGAATATTATTACCTTTGAGTGAAGAGTTGAATACAAATAAAATTCTAGTTACAAAATCAAACAATGTCTACTCTAATTACTGAATATGTTTTAGATTAGTTAGCTTTACTTACTTACTTACTTACTCCTGTGACCCCTTGTGGAAAAGCATAGGCCGTCCAAATCTGTCCCGGGCAATCCTTTCCAGTTTATTCCAGTCGCTAATCATCCTATTCAAGTCTGCTTTCGATTCTCAATTTAGTGTGCTCCATGGTCTTTTTTTTACCGTTTCCAATCAGCATTCCAATTAGCGCTTGCTTCATGATTTCTTCAATGTGTATTCTATCCACTTCCAACATCTTTTAATAATTTCCTCTTCAGACGGAAGCTGGTATGTTCTCGCCGACAGTAGGTTGTTGCTGATGGTATCCGGTCTACGGATATTGAATATCTTGCAAAAACAATTGCTTACAAATACTTGTACGTTTTCGACGATGGTTGTAGTAGTTCTCCAAGTTTCGTTTCCGTACAGTAGAACTATCTTGACGTTCGTATTGAAGATTCTAACTTTGGTGATTGTTGATAGTTGTTTTGAGTTCCATATATTCTTCAGCCGTAGGAATGCGGCCCTTGATTTGCCAATCCTCCCTTTTACGTCGGCACCAGATCCTCTTTGTTTATCGATGATGCTGACAAGATACTTGAACGTTTCTTCCTTTTTCCAGAGATTATACATCAGGCGTGATTACGTTGGTGTTCATCGTGTTCTATTTGAGGATCTTGCTTTTCGGTTGTGTATGCTGAGACCTTTTGCTATAGAGGCTTCTGCTACAGTGGTCATCTTGACTTCCATTTATTGATGTGTATGGAATATAAGAGCTAGGTCATCTGTGGAGTCGAAATCGTCTAGTTGCATCCAGACTGTCAATTGTATTCCGTGCTTGCCCTTAGATTTAGAGGTTTTCATAAATCTGCCATGTTGAATGTACTTTTTCGGGAAAATTCCCCATTAATAATTCACTTGGTATCATTACCAAGGTTTGACTTGATAATTTTGGATTCATTGAGCATTGAGTAAATTGTCATAAATAAATAATATACTTGCGATATCCCAATGGGTAGAAAAAATAGATTTTATGGCGTTTCGTGACTTAGTGTAAGCCACTTCTTCAGAGAATAAATAATGAAAAAGTGGCTTACACTAAGTTACGAAACGTCAGAAAATCTAATTTTTCTACCTATTGGGATATTACAAATATATTGTTTATATAGTAATGATTCACTGTTTTTATTCACATAAATATTAAGATTTATAAATTCAAGAACCAATTTCATGGTCTAAAATTCAATGTTAACAGAGTTTAACATCAACTAGGACAGAAGTTCTTGTTTTTAGATACAACGAATGGTAGATGTTTAAAATCTATTCAGATCTAACTATTCGGCTCTGATAAACTACTAGCAATGAAAAGCATAGTGAAAGCATAACTTACTTGGAAGTCTCTAATGGTCTAAAAAAGTCGAAAATATTAGCAATTTAACCTATTATTGTATGAATTCGGATATACGGTCTTCATCAGCTTCATTACCTAGGAATTGTTTTACCGTTACTGCCGATTTAAATAGTTTTTTCATACAATTGTGTAAAATTTCTATTTCAAGAAACATGTAGTATCTATCCTTATCGTTTTTCAACTTTTGTATTTGTATAAAAACAACAAATGAAAAATGGTCTATGAAGTGAAATCAACGTCACTATATACACGTTTGCAGTTTAACCAAGTAATAACATTCATATTTTAGATAAAAATACCAAGAAAAATTATCTGACAACATATCAGTTTGTATTTGCTACTAGGATATATTTTGAAAACAGAATAAACCTGTTATGTCGGATGTGACTGCAGGTTTTGATTAGCAGCGTTTATTGATCGATTCGGTGACAGTGACACGTAAACACGTACGGACGGCCTAGAGTCTCGATTGGTCCCACTTCCCTGTCTAGCCCAGTTAGTTGAGTCCAGAACACAAGTCACAGCCTCGGAGATATGAATCATTATATTTCAAACATACTTTGTTTATATACCAATCAAGCACACCACATCGTACCATAAAATAGAAAACAACATTTTGTACAATATTCAACAAGTGAACAGATATCGACCAATAGGAAATGTCCATTTAAAGTCCAAGGACACCATTGGACTTAACATGATAATTATTGATCTATTCCTCTGCATCCACAACAAAACCCAGTCCTAGGAAGCAGATAATATTAAACTAGTTACTACTCAGTAATCAATTACTGTTCTTAATCTGTCCTTAAAACACATCAGTGGCCACACAATCAACTTGGACATGACATATTCAGTTATAGAGTCAAATTCATGTTTTTGAAAAGTATGAATGTACATTAATTTGAAAATGTATTTTGTTGATAAAAAGTATCAAGCATAAGAGGGTATTTGTAATTCCATCCTCGAAACGTTCAAGACTGAATATGTACTAATCAGTGATGAGTTAATCTTCTTACCCTGAAGATAATGCTGATTTTGTCTTCAGAAGTTGATTATTCAGTCTAGTCAGCAGTAATGTAGAAATGATTAGATAAATCCTACCAGTTGAATGGTAATAAACGTCTTCTATCACAATAAATAAAAAATATATAGTTTACGAGATTACAGAAGAGAAAAGTCTGAGTATTTTTAAAGTGATCCTTTGCGTATATTGGGAGGTGAAAACATTATATCATTCGTTATTGAAAATTGTTCATTTGAAATCTAGCAGTTATATATAAAATAAATGTATGAGTAGTAATAAGCGTTTTAATCTAGTTACAAATTTTCTTAGAGAAAAATTTAAAAATAATCATTTTATTGATGTGTGTGTACTTTCAAAGAAAAAAATAAAAGTTACCTTTCGTTTTATTTTGATTCTAGACGTCATGGTGGACGTCATGGATACCCTAGACACGCTGGAGACTTGGGAAACATTAGAGTTGGACACAACAGTGTAATGATATTTGATCTCTATGTTAGTTTGAAAGGTCTAGAACCATATGATGGATTTATTGGTCGATCACTTGTTATACATGCAAATATGGATGATCTTGGAAGAAATGCAGATGAAGGCAGTAGAACAACCGGTAATTCTGGTCCCAGATTAGCATGTGCTACAATAGGATATCGTGCGCCATGAAATGATTTTTGTTGAATTTATCACATAATAAAAACCGGATGATAAATGAATACTTAGAGTTTATTTTCCTTTTTAATTGTACAAGATATACCCGGGCACAAAACCTTATACTTATCATTTTATGTAAGTAGACTAAATGGAAACATATACATAGCAATAAAAAAATCACCATTATATAGTCCCGAAATTCGATTTTATATTACATTTTCATACGGATTTGTATATAATTTGGTTGGTATTGTTATAAGTAATGACTGATTTCTGACAACACATGGACAATACTAAGGCATCTGTCCTAAGAGTTAGGATGAAAACAAAGAACGATCTCTTCAAACTCAAATATCAACCACGAGAATGCTTAGGGCCTTTAAGAAAAAATCATATTCATCCCCGTAGAACAAGTGGATACCGTGACTCATAAGTTTACGTAATAGAGCACTGAGATTCAAGCTTTAGTAGTAGCTTTAATAGTCGAATCTAATTATATACACCCGGTCAGTCATAGTAAGGACAAAAATACATTGTAGATCCTACTGCTAATCACTACCAAAATTTATAGTCTAATCTAATATCAGTCTTCATTATATTGAAACGCATGAGTGTTAAAGTATACTCAAGTATTTATGGATTAATCGATTCCCATAAAATACAATGTAACTGATCATATCCTATTAAGTTTCTTAAGTAAGTGTATAACGTTTCTTATTGCATGATCGTACACAAACATCAGTTATCTATTAGATGAGATAATTTGAAGTTAGACTGAGTCCAGTTTTTGAGTTATTGATGAATTCAAATGTTTCGGGGCTATAAATATCCGACTTACAATAATACGGCCTGCATATCTCCAGGACTTAATATTAGTGTAAAAACCACTATCCTTTCTAGAGAAATTGATTAAAGTCAGGTGATTTTACAACCACACACCTTATTAAGTTTGCATACTTTAAAAATACAGTTTTATGACCCAAATCAGTCAGTTTCACGTGAAACGTTAACACCATTTTCTCTAAAGGCATGTAATTAACAAACAGTATGACTAAATTGCAACAATAATTTATATGAAGATGATTTTGTGGATATTATAGTAATTTAATAGTTGAATTCATGAATCCAGTGCATCGAGGTTTTTCATGATGGTCTAGTTTTAATTGACTAACGAATTCAACTATTAAATAGCTTATCTATTACAAAGTTTATCTTTGTAGAGTTTATAAATTGTTTAGCTTAAATTATGATTTATTAACTAATAAAATTAAAAGCAAAAGATTACTATGGTGTTAGCTAAATAAATAAACAATAGTCCTAAAAGTTATCTAATAATGTGTAACAACCAAGAACATAAGAATCATTTAGACATTTTCATCCCTATAACAAAGTTAACTTGAAGAGAAATAGTGGAATGTTGAGGAAGATTATCGAGTTTTATTTTATAAACCATAACACCCAATTTGTTTTTAACATTCCTAACATTCTTATTATTACAATTTTCAGACTTATTTTCTCCTGTCAATGTATATGGTTCATTAAAACTATTAAGATTTCTTATAGTTAAATTTTCAATAAGTATAAAAATCAGTAGTTCTAACTGAACAAGCACTTTCCTTGGACAAACATTCATCCCATTAAGACAGAAGTGTAAACGATAAGATCCGGATTTAGTAAACTAACAGTAACTCTCCCAACACGAGAACTTAGAATTTTAATGTTCAATATTTCACGGGCTCATAAGTATGTGCTTTTGTGTAGGAACTGTTAATTATCCCATCGTTCTCGTTGATTCCCTAGATGATGTTACTTTGTTAAAAGTGGTCCTCCAGGTCTCCCAAATAGTCCGGACATTCTACATACTTATATTAACCGTTTCTCTAGTTGTCAGAAAAGAACTTCATCTTGTAACTTCTGAAGAATCTCAGTATTCACCACGTGGGATCATAATTCCTCTATATGATGACCTCTTAACTCCCATGAAATAATTTTAATAGTTCAAATGATTTTTAACGGTTAGCTTTTTTATTTATTAAGATTCTATTTTGTGGGATGTGGTTGCTAATCCTATGTCCAACCCTCATTCACCCTATATTGAGACCAAGAAAGACTCAAGTGTACTTGTGATGAAAACTCTTGTCAAACTAAATAAATCTTCAAAAACCTCTTACTTCTATGTAATGCTTTGACAAAACCCATTAGTGAAAAATGTTTATCATAATCAAAATGTTATTATAGAAAAACTCGGTTAGGTTTTATGATATGAACTTGAGGTCTGATCGTTATGTCCGCTTTTAAAGTGTACGAATAGAATTTTAGAAACATAATTTTGCCTCGTGTTTCAAATACATGAAACAATTATATCGATCATGAAAGAAATATGCAACGATGCGTCAAAAGTAAGATTGACTTTGATAACAAGTTTAATAATGCAAATGTAAGCAAATTATCAAGACGATAAGTGACTACAATCTCCAAAGTTCTCTGCTTTTAATAAGCTTGTATAGTAACAACAAATGAAGGATATAATCACAAGAAGGTTTTTTATGGGGATTTTTAGTGTTTTTGATGACGAATGCGCAATATATATAAGAATAATTAATAATACGTTAGTATCCAGTATCGTACATGATAGATTATTTGTGGGTCTTTTTCAAAACTTTTGACCTTGAGATGACATTTATTAAAAGATTTGTATTGCACAAAATAACAGAGAAATATATGAATTATAGACTAGAAATGACAAATTAATTCATTTCCAATGACGAACAATATAAATTAGTATAAATAACTTATTTTAATGAATTCCGTAGCCACATGTACTAAATTAAAATAAAACAAATGTATTGTGTTCAACAATCGCAACAAATCAAACTGTTTCGATACTTATTGGAAACTGACATTTAATCACTATTACTATAGGTAAGAAGAAAGATTTTCGCATTTTTTTCTTTAACTAAATAATTAGAGGCATAACAAAGTACAATATTAATCTCATTATGAAAGTTGTATATGTGTGTATCATTAGTACGGAGCGTTTGCGGAAAGTTTTGAATATTCTTATATGGTATCACGGTTTGACTTTAGTTAGGCCATCAGGAAGCTTCGGATGGATTTTTAGTCTTAGTATGGAACTCGTCAACATTGTTCACTAATGAACTTCCCACGGAGGATTGAACCCAAAAACTTCGGTCGCTCGGTAATTTCGTAGACTCTAAACAATTTTACCAGCATCCACTGGTGTACGTGTTTAACTTCTGTCATTCATTGAAACAATCTATGAAAACGCAATAATGTACAACATAACCCAACACCAACAATAATCATGCGCTCACTATCAACCCATTTCGAGAGGCAATTCCAAGAAATCCAGTGAGAAGCTGCAGACAATAGATGGTGGAGTAATTTGGTGAAATGGTTAGAGCTAGGCATGAACATCGGTAAATTCTGGCTTGATGCTCTAAAGGTTAAACACTCACGAAGGTATCTAAGGCCATGGGTTTCATCCTGAAGCGAACGGTACTGGGTTCGATTCCCAGAGTGAATATCAACTCTGAGATGCAGGTACATCCAGCTGATGAGTCCCAAATACAACGAAACGCGCGTTCTGGATTCCACTGCTAGCTACTATCCATCTTTGCTTATAAATCTTAATCTTATTAAGAGATTAAAAATCTAGTTGTTAAAAGCTTGAAAATTAATTAACATTTTTATAGAAATTAGATAAAGACTAATAATTGTGAAAATCGGTTGAATGAAATGGTAAAATGAATTCTTAATATGAAAATATTTTCAGAAAGTTCATGATGGTGCGATTGACCTTTTTTGGTGAAGAAGTCAATACACTAGGAGAAGAGAGAGGAAAATAGATTTTAGAAACATGACAGAAGAGACTAAATATATTTCTCTGCTTTATATAAGGTTTATATACGGTTCTCTTCATATGTGACAAAGGCGTTAACAACGGAAGAAGCACGAAAGTACGCTATCTTCGGGTGACGTTTATTTACCCTTTAGACGACTGTGAATAGCGGGTATGCTTTATTTGAATGACCTATGCTCACTAAGTATTCTATTATGAAACTTCTTGTAAACCCACTGCTATCTTCATTGCTATCATCATTGCTTACAAAAAGCTTGTGAATTAAGGCAATATCAAGGCATACGCACAGTCTGCACATATTGCCAATAACAGACTGATCAATTACAGCCTTAGACCTCAATAGGAAGATACAAGCCAAATAATTCCAAGTGAATTTAAATTCACCCCATTGCACAAGCAAGTGGCTATCGGGACTCAGTAGCTGAGTGGATAACGCAGTGGAGTTTGAAGCGAATGGTACTAGGTTCGAGTCCGAGAGTGAACATCAACTCAGATGCAGTTACATCCAGCTGAGGAGCCCCAAATAGGACGGAACGCGCGTCCTGGATTCCACTGCTAGCCACTATCCATCATTGCTTACATAAACCACTGCTATCTCCTTTTAATCATATAGGATAGTGTTCATCAACGTGCTGGATAGAATTATCATTCAACAACTAATGTACTCAACTCTGTTGGAACAGATGAATTGATGAATACGTATCAAAGTAGTTGGATAAGTAAACTTGTTTTTTAGATTATTAGGAATCACAGGTAAACTTGTGAACACTGACCTCATGGTTAATCCAAAGAACGCTCTTTTGAAAAAATTTGAAGTATTTTGTTAACATTAGGTATATCTTCTTTAAAGTTGATATTCACGCAAAGCATCTATTTTAGCAAGCAGGTAACTAGTTTGATATGTGAAAATTATATTTGAAATAATCTCAGCGATTGAAGTTTAAATAATTCCAACGTTTTGTTTTGCAAACTTGTCTGGACTTCTACCCTGAAGACGTCAAGACAAGCTTGCTAGAAAACACGTTGAAATTATTTAAACTTCAATCGCTGAGATTATTTCAAATACAGTTTTTACATACAATGTCTTTTCTATACTCGGAGCCCAATTTTTGTCAAACTGTTCGTTCTAATACTATAAATTAAATACTATAAATCACTAGTTTTTTTGAAAAACGAACTCAAAGTAAAAAAGATATTTTAAACCACCTTCTTGATATAAGTACTAGAGGGAGTTTACCATCTGATTTCTTAAGAGCCTATGGGTTTGTTTTTCATGAAAAAACGATGATATCATACAATCTATCGCATGTTTAAATTATGTGTGTTAGCGGGAAAGAGATTGAATTGAGTTGGGGTACGCTGATTGGTCATTTCTTAGTCAATCGGAGCTAATGGATACTTGAAAAGACTCCAGAATCTTCTTGTGTAAAACTTATATATATGCTAATGTTTTGCTTATTGTGATTCCTACTTTTATTCAACCTTTGGAGTAAAATTACGTTCCTGTTCAGCCGTGTTCTGATTCAAGGATTTGTCGAGAGAAGTAAGGTTTCCGAAAAAATGAGAAAAAAATAGGATTAGCTGCATCGTAATAAGAGAGATCATAACAATGTGCAATGAAGTTGTAAAGATAATATACTTATCCTTCTTAATGTTCAATTTCTCAAGGTTTCTAACATTCCCTGTTTGTCACTAATTTATTTTACTATATAGAGCAAGTCACAAATCGATGTAACTGCCAGTGATACACTTAAATCGTACTTTAATACATATACACACTTATTTATATGACAGTCAGCAAAATAATCATTTTTTTGACAAAATGCAAACAAAAAGTTATCAGACGACTCCAGGACTTTGTGAAGTGCACCGAGAACAAAATACCAAGACATTACTGGAGTAAAGTTTGATTTTAGTACATTTGATTAAATGAATAGTGTGATTAGCACTTAATCAACATACTTTCGTGTAGTATCATACAATTCTCCAAATTGGTTAGAACGGACATGGCGTAACGAAATGACAAAACTAAAAAATATCACTTTAATTGATATTGCTTGATTATCACTTTGATCGAAAAATTCGACAGAAGTTTGACCGAGAGAAATTATAAAGCTAGTCTTGAGTGCTCCTCCAACAGATTAAAAGTTTAATTTCTTTATTAAACTTAGCATGGTTATTTTATGATTGTGGTTGATGTTCTTGTATGAACTTGTATTATTCATTTTATTTATTTTTAAATCATACACATGATTTCTAACAAGAGCAATACGATGTTTTGACGAATTTGCTTTTACTTTAAAGTACTCAGAAAAAGTGTGTTTATAATAAATAAACAACAAATAACAATAACTATCGACACTTCAAATTATAAACGTCAATATCGTCGTAATTATTGATTTAATATGAAGGAAAATAAGACTTGAATGGTTTTTCAAATGTTTTTTATCATTTTGGTTCAGTGAATTATTACCCTAAGTAATCAAATGTTTTAACACAAATCAGAAGATAGATATTTTGGTCAGATAAGCTTTTGAGATGATATTTATTTAAAAAGAAATTCCCTGTATACAGCTAACTAATCATGTAATCAACTAAGAAGAGTCATCAGAGATGTTAATCTACCACTGCCATGTTTATTCTGCTCACAGTCTTGTACAAGGCTACAAAGGGTTATAATCTAAGTTTGAAATAAATTGGCAAAAATTTTCTTCAGCCCAACTTTACATTATAGCTGTATATGTGAAAGAATAATCTAAATATTGACTCGTTCATAGTCACATGTCAGTGCAAATTTTAGTAACTACGGTAAAGAATAGTGAAAAACAATAATTAATTGCATGATGAAGACAAATCAAACATCAATCAAAGATTTAATTAATTGATTTTTATTCTCAATTGAAGCTGATAGTCGGTTTTTGCACAGGTTTCACATAAGTTAAAGTTAGTCTTAATTCATTTCTCATTAGATAAACTCATTTTCAAATTTCTGAAATATATATTCAAAGGTATTTAGAGCGATTCAATTTGGACTATTTTTGCTAAGTTGAAAAATGTTGATAATAATAAATACAGATTTTATACATTCACTTTTAATGAATGCTTTTTCGAATTCCCGTGAGAATGAGTGAAGTCTATTAACTACTATATAGAAGATTACTATGAATTAATATTTGATATTGATGTTTGTTTTCAGTTAGCTATTTCTGTCATGTAATTGTTTCATCAATATAGAAGGCATGGAATTATTTAAGCATCAATCGCCAACATAGAATGACACTCTAATCATAGGACACTGTAGTTATTAGAAATTCAAAGCTATGTAAAAGAAAACCGAATAATGAAAGTATGCGTACTTTTCAAGATGCTTGCGCTTTTAAAGTTTGCAAAATAACTGAAGTTATCGTTCTAAATATTGGCGTAGCTTACAACTAAATCATGCTTTATCCATCCCAAACATTCTTATAAGTATGAAGTAGTTTACTCCTGATTTATTTCTCTGAAGAGCTATATCAACTCTACTTATAAAATGTTCCAACGGGAGCATGATCTATCCAGTCTGTGTTCGATGAGTACTTTCGTATAAATAACTAGCAACTACCATCAAAATTGAATACAGAGTCTGCGAATCTACTATTTGCAATACTATTCAGAATAAGAGGTAGAAGCGTACTAGAAACGGCTGTCTGAATGAGGCAAACAATTCATAACACATTATTCAATCAGTGTTGATTGTTGTAATCTTCCATTATACACCACATTAATCTGTGCATTATTCTCTACAATCTGCCGTACTATAAGAAAATAGATACCAACATGTGACCAAAATTTTATTAATGCATTCTTAATGGCGTTAAGATTAAATTACAATTATGCACATCCATTGATACCTTAATACAGTTACACATCTAGATATGCCTTTTTGTGCTGAATTCCTTGTTAGATCAACAATTTATGATCAAGCCGTTCATCTAAAGTTTCTAACTATTTACACGTAAAGTAATCAATAAAAATAAACAGGATCTCTATAAGAACTTCAATTGATATTAAACAAATAACTTATTTTAAGCTTCTTTCATGGTATCGTCTTTGAATGCTATAGAAGTAGGTGGTCTTTTGTTTCTTTTTACAGAGTTCAGTTTTTGAAAGACACTATCTTTTTTAACAAGTCACATTGAACTAATTTTATTGAAAATATGAAAACACGTTGAGTAAAAATGTGACTTGAAATGATTCACAATACTAGAAAGTATTTTTAGGAAACAGCTTTTCATCTAAGAATTGGAAATGATGCATACTAAATAGTTTAAAACAGTAATATGAGTTATAAATAAATTAATATATTTGTAATATCTCAATGAGTAGAAGAATTAAATTTTTCGACGTTTCGTGACTCAGTGTAAGTCACTTCTTCAGAAAAAAATAACCAAATCAAAATTAATCCAAGTTTAAATAGTACAACTGAAAAAAATGAATATAATATCAATACTTTCACAGTACTCACTAACCCCTAGACCAACCATAAATAATGTGTAATAAAACTAGGAATAACTTTATTGCTACTATCAACTGTCCAACGTTTATTACTAGTTGGATTTGCTCAAAAAATGAATGAACCAACACAAAAACTTTTAAAACCATATATCACTAGAGTTTGATAGAATAAGATTTAGGTAAATAACAATTCGTTTTGAATTTGTCTTACTGTAAATAAATATGAAAAATGATCCAAAATTAGTTTATGGAGCTTTCCAAACACCAACTACAGCACATGTCAAACGTTTGCCGGAATTGCCTGTCTTGCGACTTCCATCATCATCCATTCTGCCTAAGTCATCTTCTTTCTCATGGATAACCAGTGCTCTTCCAAGAAATCCATTAAATTTAGTAATAGAAGAAATATCAACATTGAAATCAAGAGTCAAAATACCATTTTGATCGACATAATGATTTCCAAAATCTCCAGGATGTCTTGGCGAACCTGTTAGTCCACCATGGTCACTGAAAATGATTACGTAATAACTTTAGTATGAGTAAACAACAATGTCAAATATTTAAAAAATCATCATCCATTTGTAATTAGTATATTTCGAGATTTCATAATGTTGTTGAAACTCTAAGTTTATTTGTTGTTTTTAGCTTGTTTTCAATGACAAGTTGGTTAAATGATTTATACTATTATTCTAAATATTCACTTACTAAAATTAAGACATTAAAATTCCTCTGATTTTTGCCTCATATGAGATAGAAAATCATTTGTATAATAAGTATATTAGATATTTTGTGGTATCGTTTAAGTAAATGTCTACTGTAAGATAACGCTTGTTTAAATCTAAATCTATAAACAATTTATCTGAATTCATTTTATCCACTGAAGATGAAATTACCTTCTGAACTAAAGAAAGGCATCCTAAACTAAAACACATAGATTCCACAATATCAACTTTATTTTGAATTGTCGATGTGTTTTTTTCATTTATTCTCCGTTTCTTTAATTACTGCATATCTTCATGTATTACGAGATGAAATGATGATATAATGATTACCATTGGTCTGAACCTCAAAAAGAGTTTATTTTATCATTATCATAAATAATACACATTAATGAGTTCAAATAGATTTTTAGAAAGCTTATACCTAAGAATAATGATTGGAATAATTCGACAATCAAATCACTGGTTCAGACTAAATAACTTATTCAGTATAGATATTTATCCTTAATAATAAAAATGAGCTATCTCTTTTCATTTTTTTAATTTGACCAAAAGTTGTTTCAACTCGGAGATATTGTCATTTGAGTAATCCAAGTGAATATTTCGATGATGTCTACAGAGATGATATATTCTTTTGGAATTATATTCAGATAATAAGTGTGCAGTTATGATATTTCATGTAGCCTTTATTAAAGAATTTTTCAATTTAATGTTTACCTGTTAAACGGATTAAAATGTGGTCCGGCGTCATTACATTCATTACCTAATGCACCATATTCATGTATATGAACACCCAACCATTTATTTCGCGGAAAACCTGATAAATATCCAGTTACTGTGAGACTTGAGCCATGCTTTGTGAAATACACATTTCCAGAATACTGCGGACCAATAAAACTGGCTATACTGTAAACATTCTGGAAGCATTGAAAAGTTCCTAAAAATAAATATTATGTACATAATAACCCGATAAAGCATTTTCATTCACAGTTTGTTTATTTTAACCATAGAATTTATTCGCTTGAACCGGCAATACATACATAAATCTAAAATTAATTCATCAACCTTAACCCGATATTTTATTGAAATCTAACCGTTATCAATAATTTTACGTAATAAAGTGTCTTATTATGAAAGTAGACAAACAAACACCACTGTACTAATAAATGAAAACAATATCTCACAGAAAATTATTTTACTCTAATGAGTATGAAAACCCTAGAGGGATCCTTGCGTTAAACACAATATGATTTATAATTAAATTGTCTTACCATTTCTACCGTCTCTTAACATCTGAACTATTCTATAAATACTTGTTTTTTTAGAATCCATGATGGGTAATATATACTAACACATATAAAGTATCCTAAAATGAAGTTCAGTCGTGTAGTATAAAATCAGGTAGTGTTACATAATGCACCTTTTAACGATTACCAATTAAACGAATGTAATCGTATCCAAGATGAACGGAAATGAACATTTTATGGAATTCTGTAGCACTTTAAATCTTATAAATCTTATTCAGTGATCGTTATGTATTCTCTATCAAACATGACATTAAATAATGTAATTACAATATTATATTACATTTTTCTGGGATATCGTAGTCACAGGAAAATGTTCATTTCAATAGACACAGACCCTTCAACTGAGATATTCTTTTTTTAGTTAATGAAATAATAGTAAAAATATCGGTAGGTTCATTTAGTTTGTAAGTCGATAAGAAATTGGAAAAAACTAAAATTTTAAATTCAGAAAGTAAAAGCTATAAGTCGCATCATTTAAGTCCATTCGATTAGATGAATCCAATATGCAAGTTGTATTAAGGAAAGACATTTAAATCTTACTTTAATAAATTGTAATAATCAATGGTCAATGAACTTGTTTTCTATAAATAAAATATAGGTGAGACTGTAATTCATGGATGACCTTTGAGCGACGCTAAAGTGACTTTGAGAATGTCCACCCAATAACTACGACTAAATGAGGGTTATAAACCAGTGTGAGGAATTAGAATTATGATTTACAATTGATGGTTAGGATTAAGAATTAGATTTAATGCTTTCAACACGAAGTGACATCAACTATAATGCCGAAATAATATTTAGCCAAATGAGAGGATAAATTTCGTTCCGAATTCCGATACCTATTATCTTAAATCTGATTGGTTCGTCCATAAATTATAGTCCCGCCAAGAAACACTTGATACATCCAAATGAACAAACATCTATCAGGATTCAATTCTAAGAAGGGAATTTCAACCCCTGAAATTGTTCAAATTAGTTCACAAACATCACCTATTTCTAAGTAATCTACAGAATAAACAGAATTGGGTTATCACTCTGTAAAATTTCTATCAAAGTAATTTAAGTTATATGATAAAAAAACATTTTTTCATAAGATATGTGAGATGATAGATAAAATTTGAAGAGCACTTCACACTTGAAAATCACGAAAGTCATAAACTAGATAGTAACCTACTTCCTGATCCCTTTACATTTGTTATAAATAACAAGATATATATGTACAGCAGCATTATAGGTAATCCACTAGATTAAATGTTAAAAAATTCCAGCACATATACCTGAAATGCACGCACACTTATCTATGTAAACAGTCACTAAATCACTAACTAAATAACCAATTACAGAACAGATAGTATGATCAACTTACTTATATTTAAGAGATGACACAGAAATATATGTGATTTCACTTAAAATCAAGCCCAACCTTATCTGTAGTTTGTGAAAAAACTTTTGGTTTGATGATAAAACATTGGTAAAATATGGAAATCATGTTACTGATAGAATTTAACAACATTAATAATACTATTAATAATATGATAAGATAAACTTTTAAGTAGGCTATACAGGAGGAGGGTATTGTAAAGACAGATACTTTAAACATTAACTGAAATTCGTTACATCGGGCTACAACTAGGCAAGCCCATCATTACATTTCTGAACACGATCATTCATAGTTAAGTAAAGTTCATATAGTGGATAACGTGATGGCGTTTGAAGCAAAAGGTACCAAGTTTTAGTCCTGGAGTTAGCATGAGATCTGTGATGGAGGTACACCTAGCCGACAAGCCCCATATAAGAAGAAAACCGCAGTCCTGAATCACACTACTAGCCACCACCCACCTATGCCTAAAAAAACATTATTTTAGATCACACTGATCAGTTTCACAATGAATAGACACAATAACCAGATCCCAATTGATTGAAGTGTGAGCAATCAACAGACGAGATTTCTTCAACCCTCTATGACATTTCATCATGCTTATTTTTTTTAGTGTCTTGCATAAAAGCATGTTATTTTACGACATAAAATTGTCTATCCTTCTGGTTTTCTTCTTATATTCGACTTCAAAACACTGATTTCTTTTTACCAATAATATGATGTGTTAACAGCCGTTAGTCGGTGGTATGGCATCACTGATTGTCATCCACCGACTAACATTATTTTCATCTATTTTAATAATCGAAAATTCCGCTCATTAAATCACTAAGATACTCCTTCATAACACTCATTGGTATGATCAACCACGTGCACAACTGTAACAAACAGTTTACCAGAAGTCAAAAATCTGTAGTGTGGCGTCGAGTCGCGGTTGACTATGATAACCACTGCAGGAAGACTACGTGCCAGTTAACCGATAAGATCCCCCGTAGGCCAAATATCAGAAGGCAGTTGATGGCTGTAGTCGACATGTATTTATAGGCGATCTCGTGCTATTGAAATAATACCGAGATCGTGCCAAAGGAGTCCAAGTGCGGTTACTGAGCACAACCGAATTCGTGCAAGGTCACAATCAACAGGAGGAAGAATAAAAGAATCATGGACGTCTTTAGTACAGTTAAACAAACAAGTACAGTAAAACAATCACTGGTACAATTTTTTATAATAACAATTGTTTCCATTAAACCAATCGCGTTCTCTTGACTGCATAATTACTGTTATCTAGGTTAAAAATTGATAAATACGTTAGTACATATTTTATAATTACTATTATAAATTCAATGGACTGAAAAATTCATTTCATAACGAAATAAAATAAAATGACGATAGGTTTAAAGGACCTTTCGTTGAGCTCAATTAGTGTCACTACTCATTTGAAAATGTAACTATAGAACATTTTCGCAACATTTTCAAGTTTTTGAAATACGATATCAAAAAACATATGCGGATATAACCATCCCCTTACTGTTCAATAAAATGGAGATATCTAGCATTCGTAAGTATTTTCGTTCATTTAGTCTGCCACCAACGCATATCAGAATGTAATTTTCATAGTTGACTTTAGCGTAATCACCTAAAGCCATTTAAATATATCTTTTGTAAATATCCCACTTTAGCGTATCCTAACCTGCCGAATGAAAAAAGCAAAGAACGTGAAAGTTAGAGCTTGAATTGAAACCTATGGTGAAAATTATGTTCTTATATGCATTAGTCATCCACTAAGCTGATGGAAAATTGCTAGATATTGCAGAAATAACCAACATTGAGAAGCAGATACGTTATGAGTTCACGAGTAGGCATCCTATCCCATGCAAGAAAAAATAGTTTTAAAACCCAAATGGTCATTATTTAACGTATTAGTTCGTATACTTTTAATGAATATTTGTTCAAATAGTGATTTTCAGTAATTGAATGTTATTTTAATTATTAGTCGCCTTTGATTCAATAATCGTTGCTACTTTATACGATCCACAAATTACAGACATTTAGTTACCTGATAATGTTGATTAAAAGCATCAAACAACTTCTTTCAGGAACAGCGCTTAGAAACAAGACTGTACATGCGACTAACAATCTTTTCACTTGAACTTAAACGAGAAACATTAAATTCATGAATAACCAGAAAGTAGTATAAAGAGAACTACACTTAATTGATTAATACACAAACTATTAGGGTCATCTCATCGTCTTATCATATCACTATAAATATTTAAACTTAGTAGTTTTTGGAATAATTTTCAGTATGTATATATACATGTGGACTGATCAATGTAATTTGAACGATGTACCAAATATTTATTAAACTGACTTCCTGGTTTCATTATGTTGTGATTTTATTTAGAATTTATCCAAACACAAAATGTTTTAAAAACATGTCATTCCATTGTCATCCTTCATCTGCTACTAACACGAAAGTTATTATGTAATACAATAAATGACCATGTGTTAATAATTCTCATTTGCTAGCATGAGAAACCTTTTATGAACAAATGTGTTCTGAAGTATAAAAATATTTTGAATAACCAACTGATGTATACACATGCTATAAGTTATCGAATTACGTATTTAAAGGTTATGTACAATGAATTATTTAGTTGAACACATTTTGATGGAATTACATCTTAACGTCTAGTAACTAGTTTAATCCAATGTCCTTTTTAAATAAATAGGACCGATAATAGACTAATGATTTGTGATAACAGTTTCTGTAAACTTTAATTACCTAATATTGTGTCAATGTTTACGAAAAATCCGGTTTCCAAAACCTGAAAGACTCGGTATTCGTGAGCGATAATCTAATCGTATATATTACTTTCAGAACGTTTTGTTGATGTAATATTATTGAAATTCAGGTGAAAAAATGCATCGTCAAATCTCTTTGCTTCATTCTTACAATACTTTCTGTCGATAAACGCCGTCGCTGTTATGAAAACTCTTGATAGTGTTTTTACTGAAAGACGAATAGTTTGAATACAAATCCAACTATTTCAATAATATTTATTTTTGTATATTGCCAGCTTGTTGAAGTACTTGATTTATTCATAACAAATAAAGTACATTTGGACAAATCCATTGTTTTTTATTCATTGAATACATACAATGCTACTACTTTGATTACTTACAATGGAATAAAATATGAGTCGGTGAAAGTGATTACTTTGTATCGGAATCACCTCTAAATACATCATTTCAAATGTGTACTCATGAACCTAAAGATTGTTATTATTCCGACTATCCACTTTAGAAAAAATGCTGCTATTCTATGAGTTAATTCGTAATACCATTCCTGATATTTTGATACTCAGGTTAATTAATATTCTCTGATATAAAACACCATCATTTAGTGAAAGTTGACTGAATTATAAACACGCTGCAATAAATGGCTAAACAGTAACGATGTGTTTTGTGTGCTAACTAAATCAGACAAGACTCAGTTTTATGGGCTTGATGAAAAATTCAAGATAGCATGTTAAGGATAATATCAATGTTTTTAGAAATACTATATTCGAGTTAACCTCAATTTCATATTTGAAGGTAAGAGATTTTCGATGTTCTTATTAGTTTTCGAATTCTACTGAATTCGTTTTCTTTTTTACCTTGTAAGATGTTTGTCTCGTGGTCAAAATACCAAAGAAAGGCGATCTCAGCAACTGTGATAACTACAGAGGCAGCACTCTTCTCTTGATACCAGGAAAGATCTTCAACAAAGTGTTGTTAAACAGAATGAAGGACTCCGTCGACACCTAACTTCGAGACCAACAGGCAGGATTGTGTAAGGATCGATCGTGTTATTGATAATTCTACAGATGAAAGTTGGAAATAGAGAAAACTAATAAAATGTACTACTTCAACATTTCTGAGGGCTTTTCAAAAAATTCTGTCGATTACAATTGACTGACGATTATGTGAACGTGACGGAATCCAGCAGGTAGTGACAAGTGCAATGAGTGTCTTTTTGTTTTCGGTGAATTTTTCACTCTACTATTCAAAATGTTGACTTATTGAAGCTTCATTTAAGATTTTCAATTATGACCGATATAACTGATTTACATGCTCCCATATTTTGTTTCTGCTTGATTGTTGTCCTTTATTCGTACCCATAAATTTCATTTAGCTCGGGATGATTTGAGGTTAATTGAATGTTAATTCAAACAACCTGCTGACCGATCCGACAAAACGGATTTTATATTCAATCATGGATTCAAATAAGGATTCTCAAGAGTTAAGTTCTTATACTTGTATCGTTTGACGAAAGATCTCTAAATAGAACATTCTAAGAGGTAAAACTAAACTGATCAATTTAATAAATATATATTATATGGTTTATTTAAGTAGGAATATAATCACTAATTATTTGATAAACCTATGGTCTAGCAGATTAAACAACTCAAGCTCGCGTACTGTCATGACTCTAGTTCACTTCTAACTTTGATCATCGTTACAGTTGTAGAATATGGGGCTTTCCGAAATGGTCATTTAATATTGGCTAACCATCAAAACAAATAAAATATTGTGTAAATGAAATCAAAATCAGATGTCAGATACGTTATATTAACATGCTGAATAAATTAATTCAACAGTTTCGCTGCAAATCTGATCTGTAGAACTAAGTCATCTCCGAAACACAGGAAAACTCTATATAAAATATTATGAATATACTAATCACACTTTAATCAAAGCGAAATAACTCACTATTCGGTTTGTTTGCTTCTATATTTTCGTCTCATTCAGCTGATACCGAATAACAAAGTTTTGATGGCGTAAGCTTTAAAAAATTCTATCAACTCTATACCATGGGTCAATATTAGATAATAGCTTTTATTGAATGAAGACTTGATATAATTGACTGGATTAGTGTGTTTACCTCTGATGATAGTCTATGATGACACCTCAGCTGTATGACAACAGCAAACAAATAAAAATTTGAAAAGTCCATAGGATCTAGTAATGATCTATAATTTACTGTGACGTTTTAAGTAGTGATTATATCAGTTGAAAAGTTTTTAGAATATTTAATTATTCTGAACATTTCTATCATACATATACATGCAATCGTTTATCATAGTTCATTTTTTATTATAAAAAGCATTTAATTTTTCTGTTGTTGTACAGTTCGTCACAATGAAACGGAATAAAGCACTCAAATCATCAGAAAATAATGACAATAATAAAAGTAAACAATTAGTCAAGTTTCAGCAGAACTCCACTTCAATCTATTTTCCGCCAAATAATAAAAGATAAATAAATATTCTCTTGTTCTTATAGTGTATGTGTGTGTGCGCACAAAATATCAATTATTTAGTGAGTCAAAAAGAAGATTTATTTATAGAATAGTATCTGCTGAAATAATAAATTACTGTGATGCACTGATATCACGAATCCATAAAATTACATATTTATAGTATATATCTTTAATGAATGACAGATTCTCGTCTGATGTACTTGTTTTACGTGCGTTTATCCAGGGACCCTGTGGCATCTTCGTCCAGTTTTGCTGGCGTTGGTGTCGCACTAAGCGCTAGAGCTGAGACAGCACTAATCGATTAGATCCCCATTAACAGTCGGTTATGTGCTGTTGGATTAGAAAGTTCCATCAAAGTGGGAAGAAATCGGCGTGAGAAACGATGTCCTTTCGTCATCTCTGCCTATACTCCGACAGATTGCAGTCTGGATGCAATCAAGGATTAATTCTACCACCAGTTAACTATTCTTCTCCAGAAAGTGCGTTCGACAGATATTGTAATACTAGCCGGAGACTTGAATGCTCAGGTCGGGCGTCTAGGCACAGAAGAGAGTCGTTTAGGTGGCCGATGGGGACTTGTTGGTCTCAGGACAGATAACGGGGACCGTCTACTGCAGCTGTGCACAGACCACAACCTGTTTCTAGTTAGCACTAACTGGCGTGGTTGTGTACAAGACTGCCGCTCCTTTAGGGTACCTATCTGGACTCTGATCATGCCTTGATCTGCGCCAATCTTACCTTACATTTCAGTGGCCAACGAAGTGGCCTCCACCAAAGGATTGATGTCAGCAAGTTAGTTGCAAGTAAGTATCGAATCGAGCTAGCTTCTAGGCAAGCTACCATTCCACCGAAAAGTATAGATGAGCATTAGTTGCAACTTCATGACGCGAAACGTCCCTCTTATAAGCACTGGGTTTCTTCAGGCTCCTTACAACTCATTGAAGCCCGTCGGTCTACCCCGAGTGACTGTGAGTTTGACCACAAACAGAGGCTGTTGCGTAATGAAGTCGGGCAAAGCTTGCGTAAGGAACAAGAAGCCTGGTGGTCGGAGCATGCTAAAGAGCTGAAAGCAGCAGCTGCATCTGGTAACTACTGGAGGCTCTTTCAACACATCCGAGCCGCTGGCAGCAAGAAGTCTGGTGTGAGCGAAACAATCTGTGAGGATGGTGGGATGCCAATCAGTAACATCCTTCGACGTCTTGGACGATGGGCAGAATTTTTCGAAGGGCAGTTCAACTGGCCTGCTCTCCGGAAACGTCGATCGGGCTGTCCTGCCCTCCATGGCCGGTGATGACTGATCTACCAAATGAGGCGGAAGTTCGCAAGGAACTCCAACTCTTGAAACGCTACAAATCACCTGACCCAGATGACTTACCTCCGGCTCTTTTTAAAGATGGTGGTGACTTCCTGGCTAAGGAACTGAAAACGTTGTTTACAAAGGTGCACCAAAGTCATGGAATAAGTCGACAGTTGTCCCTATCTTTAAAAAGGGTTCACATCGTTCCTGTAACAACTATCGGGGATAAGTCCACTTCCGATTGCGTCCAAGCTATTGGCTCCCGTCATACTTCGTAGGTTGTTCAAAACCCGAGAAACATTGATTCGCGAGGAGCAGGCTGGTTCTCGTTCTTGTCGATGATATACTGATCATTTCTTCACCCTCCGTAAATGTTAGAACACCGTCATACTTATCAAAGGTCAACAATCGTAGTGTTTCTTGGCATCAGGGCTGCCTTCGATTCGTTGGATAGGACTGTTCTCTGGGATTGTCTATTGAAGAAGGGTGTGCCTGGGAAGTTTATTAACATCCTAAAAGCCCTATATACAAACACCTCAGGTGGAGTGAGGGCATACAACCACCTCTCTCCATTGTTCCATTCGAGCAGTGGGGTTAGGCAGGGTTGCACAATCCTACCATTTCTCTTCAACTTTGCCATCGATGACGTTCTGGAAACAGCTCTGATGGATGTAAGTAATGGCGGTGTGGATTTGTTGCGGCTTATGCCAACCTAGGCCATCTTTGGCGCCTTCGTGATGCTAGTCTGGCTGTAAAAGGTGGGATCTGCAACGCGTCGGTGAGAGCAGTTTCGCTCTATGCTTGTGAAACCTGGCCTCTCCGGGTTGAGAATGTTAGACGACTCTGTGTTCGATCATCGTTGTCTCCGGAGGTGTGAGGACATCAAGTGGCAACACCATGCAGAGGTTCGGCATAGTGTGTCCGGGCACAGAGACGATAATCCAATTTGTATCACCGTCTTGAAACTTCGACTTCGGTGGCTTGGACACGTACTACGAATGTCGTTCCAGAGAATTCCACGTCGTGCATTATTTGCCGACTCTGGGACTGGTTAGAAAAAGCGGAGAGGTGGTTAGTGTACGACATGGTATCGTGGTATGAAAGAAAGCTGTAAAGGCTGGCTTCTGTTGGTCCTTCACAACTCCCTGGCTGAGGTCTGAGAGGTGGTGCAACACAGTGGCGAGAGACGTTATCAGATAGGGTTCAGAATAGAAGCCAGTGGCGATCCTGCTGTAACATTCTTTTACTTTCTTCATAAATAAGTGGTTGTATCTTCCTTAACTGAAAGAATTCTTCTGGCTGTACCTTTCCGTTTCCCCCATTATTACTATTATTATTATTATTATTGTTATTATTATTATTATTGTTATTATTATTATTGGTATTAATACACTACCTTACACTAATCTGTTCGTTATTGCTTTTTTTCCTCTTCGGATTCTTATTGTTTTGTGTGGCGCATATATATTTGGTGCCCTCTTGTGCCAATATTTATGTGTCCGAATAAGATAAAATAGTTTTACTTGACACACCTATCTGATGGCACTCAGTCACGTATCCGCATCACATCACAGGTAGCCAGATTAGATCAAACGGTCCAGATATATAAATAGGCCTTCAAATATACCCTAGAACCATTTCATTTCTGACCTCTGATTTGACATAGTTGGAATACTTCGGTTATAAAGGTATTACTTGTAAAGACGTTGTCAAACTCCGAATCCTTGTGGTATCAACGAGTTCATACAGCAGTTTACTTTAGATGTATAGCACACACAATAGTATGAAATGAACCGTGTAAAGTAAGTTCCTTTAAACCAATTACAAGGGAGCAACTTTCTTAAAATACTTCAATGCCAGAAAGAACACAACAACATCAGTTGCAAATGTCCATCAGAATCTCTGGATCTCCATGTTCTTCAACCGGAGTAGATGAAGACACATTATATCTGATTTATTCGCAGATAGGAATAGTCCCGTTATATCAAAAATTATCACTGCAAGGTCCTTCATATGTTGCACAAATTATATCTACTAGGTATCCAAATAACCACGAAGAGCATTCATTTACCATTTTCCTGCTTCGAGATAAATAAAAGCATGGAGAAGTGAGGACATTCCCTGAGAAAATGTCAAAACTCTCAGGCGACCTGACACAATAAAGTTTCCAATTCAACTAAATTCCTACATGAATCAGTTGGATGCCACTATCTTATGCGATGACTAGAACCGCTAAAACTAAAATCATTACTGTTCCATCCATAGAAAACTCTCTTATCGATAAAACGATTGCAAACTTCATTTGGTCATCCACTATCGTGACAGAATACGAAATTCAGTACGGAGCTGGACTACTCTAGGTTATAGCTAAATTAAGAGTGTTAGGATTTGGAATGACCTCAATCAATACTATGGTGGAATACTGTGGTGTTTGTGCAAACTAATGATTCTTTTGTACTTGGGGTATGCATGATCTTGAATTCTAAATACAGTACGTTGACACGGTGAGGAAGTTAGACTACGAGTTCTCGCGCATACGCTACGTGTTGTCGAGGATTTTGGATGTCGTTATTTATCAACTATTAATAGAATGTTTTCCGTAACACATTAATTTTCGTAATGTTTGTGCTTGTTACATAACGTTTGTTCCAGTTCATTAGTAGTTTGACGTAGTTGTTGCTCACAACCTGGGTGAATGTCAAGTCAGCCTAATGTGGTTATTTGTAACAATGTAAACTCAAGAAATTGGAAGTCATTATTTACCACTTCGAATAGACCTCAGTCGGAGTTTTAAGCAAAAATGTGCCCTAAAATTTGGTGTTAAACTATTCTGGAATATTATGTAAGATCCTATTATACAGCTATAAAGAGTTCTGTCCATTTTAAGTATCATCGTTGTTGACTGGACTGACATATGTAGCGTATCTGAGAATTAAAAGTTATATGAGCGACAGTTGACGTTTCTAGCCTTTCCTGCTCGCTTTCTGAAAATATACAGGAACCGTGTATAACACTATGGTAAGTGCCACATTAATTGGTCACATATTCCTCATAAGTAAAGCCATGCGATTTTTTAGAGAAACCACAGTTTTACCGAAGTATTGATGATTCTTAAGTAAAAACTGGTTTCATTGAATCTGCACATACTGCTTGCATCGTCTGGGTAGTGAAATTGTTGTGTTATTACGGAAAGTGTTTAAGTGTTATCTACCTTTCCTCGATTGCAATGTCTAAGAATATAATGAACTATACAGTTAATATTTCGTAATTGATCGAGCGTACCTGTAAATGTTCGTATTATGTGTGCCGGTAGTAAATAACTCAAAAGACACCGTCATGTCACAATTTATCCTTGATGCAGGTTATATCTGCTTGCAATTCTTTCTGCTTCCAGTCAAACAGAACAAGAAGCACCCAACAAAAATTATCCGTTATCACCGACCGAAATAACGAGTATCTGCAAAAAGCAGTTTACTTTCGATGTGAATGTAATGAGTATGTTAGTCTGAGAAGAAAAAAATCATTCTGTCCTACATTTCGGAATTCTTTTAGCGCACTATCGAATTCAGTCTCGCTTCTGAAGCGCCTGTTCAGTATTATGCGATAAAACGCACCGCCAACGTCGACTAAAAATATCTTCAACCTGACGCACTGCGAACAGCATTAGGTAATCAATAAAAACCAGTTATTCGTCAAAACAATAATTTCATAAATGAAGAAAGTACCACTAACACTTAGAACTTACCCGTTGTTTGATATTTTGTCTTAATCCTTGAGTAAAACAACGATCCACACAAAGTTCGCGTATCTAGAACTGTTAAGTTATTCTTAAATTTCTTACGTTGTTTTCTGGACCAAACCAAGTTTAAAACAAAGGTGAGGACGTTCAGTAAGGAAATTGGTATCCCAGAATACAAGGCAGTAATCGATCCAGCATGTGCACTACATGACAAAGAGAGCTGAATTAACGTTCTTCCTAATGAGCTTTCGGTTTTCCTGTAGGAAAGAATCACTTAACTAAGAGAACACTCACAACAATTAAATCACAAAATGGCCGCCTTATGTCACTTCGTTCAAGATCGTTTGGACGAAACGGCGGGCAACTTTGAGCGAATCTGACTTTTTTTTACCCTAACCAACACAGGCTGATCAAATCCTTCGCTCTATGTAGTAATGTCAACCGACCGTCCCTCTTATCCGGTGCCCCTACAGTGTTCAGTTACCAAACAAACCTCGTTTCCCGACCAACTCTAAGCTAAATAATAATACATGAAGTAACGTCAAACTAATATGGCGAGTAATAATATTTGCTTTCGATTCGAAAAGACATTTCTGATCCATAATTCGATACTATCGATTTTTTTAAACGATTTGTCAACAAGCAAACCAATCCTGTCTGTGAACCTCAAAAGTGACGAGGTGTACCACATTCAGTTTCGACCCACGATTGAGAACTTTGGTGCATCTGCTCACTGCAGTTAACTAATTGATGACTAATTGGTGGTCCTCCCTAAAACTGTGTTGTTTGGGTGAAAAGAGTTTTGTAAATAAGTGTTTGAGGACCAGCGTGAATCAGAGATTCCATAAACTTGAGGAGGGTGCCGAGGCAAATGTTGCCAGCAAGTGGTCATAAAATTCATTTGTTTGTGTTCCATAAATGCCTATTGTGATGCCTGCTTTCAGTTGTTTGGGACGGCTGCCTGGTCTGGTGACTAGAAGTACAACTCAATAAATAGTGTTAGCAGGATTGTGGAAACTTTTCTCAACATATAGGGGCGGAGATATTTTCTTGTTTGCATACACTATTTCAGTGGTTCAATTCAGCTATCAGGCTATTTCTGTATTGGAGATGATTTGAGACCGGTATAATGTTTTAAAATACTGTTCTACTAGAACAACTTTGACATTGAACCTGACAACTGGAAAACTCCATTTTCGGTTTGTCAAAGAGAGCCGCTGTGATGGAATTGACCTTTTAGATTACGAACAGGTTAATCTGGATCTGGTGCTCATCTTCTTTTAGCACTATGTATTGCTCCCTAATTTTTAATTACCCACCTGCTGTTGCCACTCGTTTGTTTACATTCTGTGGATTACTACCTACCGAGGTTCAACGATTAAACGGTGCGATTACGTATGGCTTGAAGTTGCTTGCATTTTTCTAGGTATAGTGGTATTGATTCTAACCACGTGATACTCGAAACTAAACATAAGCTAAATGAGAAAATTCACATTCAACGTTTAAGGCGGAGAGGTCAGTAATTGTGAACAGTGGGGATATAGCATGGTTCTCCACGCAAGCGCGGTTACTCTGTGCAACCTCTTGCTTGTCGTATTGAATATATTACACTCTCCCCAGCCTAAATGTGTTGTTCATAAGTGTCATGTCTAGCATATGCGAATCATCCATTATGTGAAATAAAGTTGTGGTGTTGGTATGTAAGTAGTGGACATCTATTTAAAACATATATATTTTCTCGCCTTTGTCCTAAATGATCCATCTTTAAAGTTGTCAAAAATATACCGACAATAGTCCTTATGAATGGGCGATCCCTATACCTCCACAGAGGATTACTGTCTTCACAGTTTACTAGCATTGTCACCAGTCCCGATCGGCCTTCGTCATCAATCCTAAAATCATCTGGATTGTTTAAGCAACGGAAAATTGCTTTTGGTATCGGACTCCAATTGACACTATATGCCTTGAGAGCGACATCGGTGTTCAGCGAAACATGTAATAAGAGGCGCAAAACACATGAGAGCATTATAGTAACTCCTTTGTTAAAAGAAATATTCAAAGGTGAAAGATTTGGTGATGACGCTTTCGACTGGTTCTTTTAAAACAATCCCAGAGATTTACTTTATTGTATAAAGGCAATTGAGAAGACTACGTCATTTTCTAACTATGTATTTTGTTACTATATGAGATTTCACTTTTTCCAGTTTTGAAAAGACCGTTACAAAGATGATACGTCTTCGTAATCACAATCCTTCTCCTTAAACATCTAGTTGGTGCTTCACTCTTGAGCAATTTAGAATTCGGAGCGCGTTTTTTGGACATTTGCCGTACGGACTGGAATCTTTTGTAAAGCCTCTGAATATGTTATAGTTTTTTCGCATGTTCATATATTAAAAGTTTTGAATATAAAACATGCAAATCAGTGTTGAGCCTGATGTCTTTGAGCAGTTTCACAAGTTGAAGCAACTACACAAACCAGTTGGGAGTGACAGTGAATTTCTCTCTTTTATCGTGTCCCACATTCAAAAGTGTTGTTACAAAAGCGACAGGTAAGTGATAATTTTAATGTATGTTCAACTTTATTAGTTGCAACCCAACTGTTCAAGCTCTTCCGAATGGCACATCTCTTCGGTCATGCCCAGAATGCAAATTTTCAGCCGGCACGTCTGAACAGCTTTGGGATCATTTCGAAAGTGTTCATCCTGATGAAGGGAGCTTCTCTTGTACATGTGGAGACTCTTATAACCGTTTGCCGTTGTTTTTGAGGCACTATGTAGATTGTCCCGTAGCATCTACTGACTTGGAAGATCCTCGTCGCAACTTCGCCTCGCTTAAGGACGGACGTAGAATTCTGCCTAGCATCCTTCATTCTAACTGTGACGGTATAGCGGGTACGAAATTGGGTCAGCCTAATGTCTACCACCCTTACCGTCAGTCTACGGTATCGTCTGCTCCAGGTCCGTCAGGTGACAAGCCATACGGTTGTCCAAAATGTTATAAGGGTTTTAAAAGCAAATCTCTTCTCGACCAACACATGCATCTCCATTTTCCTCCTCGCTACAAGTGCAGGTGGTGTGGTAATGTCTACCGTTGGCCACCTGTTTATTACCATCACAAGCAACGGTGTAAAAAACGTCCGGTCATTAGTATGAGTGAAATCGGTCACGCTTCTGACTACCGTTGTCTTAATGGTTCAATTATGAAAGTCGAGGATTCCCAAATGCATGTCGATCATATTTCACCGAGACAAACCGCGTTCAACCGTTTCGTGAATGCACCAGGAGTTTCTTTCACTCAAGAACTGGCGAACGATAACATCATTCAGAATGTTCCAGTCATCGGGGACGATGCAGCTAACTGTTCGCTAACATGCCTATGCACGGAAAGCTTTCTAAATGTCCCTTCCTACCTTGAGCATGCAACTATATGTCCAAAAGTTGTGTCGGCATCCTCCGTCTTCGAAAATCTTGCTAATAGAGCCCTGTCTACTTCAAACAACTTAGGATTCAGATCTCCGCGACAAAGGAATTCTATTTCAAATTTCCGGGAATTACCGCCCGAATATCTTTCACAACTAAAAGATACAACTTTAATGCACTCTAATCCTGGTGGTATTTTTTCGTGTAACATGTGTGGCAAGGAGTTCAACTCCAAACTATCTCTCAAACAGCATGTAGATGGAAAGCATCGTGCTGAAGGTAAGTACCTCTGTGGGAGTTGTGGTAAACGGTACCGTTGGGGTGCCTCGTTTTATTACCACAAAAAAACGTGCGCCGGGCCTGTGTCTTGTGTACTCAATTCTCAAACTCCGGAGCTTGTGACCACACACACTTAGTAAACTTGTGAAATATACCTTACCTCTTTTTCATTTCTGTTGTAATTGCCACAGCTCGTGATACAATATTTATATATTCAGCTGTTCATTACCTGATATCGTACTTTAAATGTTGTGGATTCCAGGTAATCGGATTATTTATGAACTCGTTATATTTTATTGTTTCTATATCGTTTATTACCGCATTTGATCTCTTGCTTGTTTGCTGAAACTTGGAAATTGTGTAACGATGTGACGGTTACCAAAGTCTTGATTTTGTAAATAATTCTATAAAATAAACTTACTATTCCAGTTAATCTAAGATCTGTGCATAATCTAACCTTTCAGTTCATTCATTGCACTGGTGCATTTATCGTCACACTAGTATTTTGTCAATCTTGTAATTAGTGTACATTTGTGTACTGACATATTTCCTCCCCTTTAATAGAAGGATTTCTAAATTTACCCATTATATACATGCTTTTTGTTCTTGCTTTTCATTTATCTAGTCGACACTTAATGTTTTATGTAATCAATCCTTTGACCCATTTTGATTATTTTAATTTTTTTATGAGAAATCAAATCTCACTTCATATTCTGCGTTTATTTGTTGCTGCATAAAACTTTCAAGGTATAAGATTCACAAAGTAATTTATTTTGGGCTGTTTTATGCATACCATGACTGTAATTTTCTGTTCGAGGAAGACGACGGGAAAGCATCTTAGTCGACGCGTTACGTACATCGGTGATTCTAAAGTGGTGATCGGAATAGAAACACTTGTCTAACTTTGGAAAAAATACCTCAGAGGTACATAAGTAAGCAGATCCCAAATTTTATCTTTGGTTTTATTCATGGAGTCTTTTGTTGCATACAGCATATTAGCAATCCCTTATTTAATGCCGGCGACTTTTTGTAGACTCTGAGATCATACTATTCAACTTAATTGTTACTTGTGGTCATCTTCCCTAATTCCCAAGGCACCTCATAGCTTCGTACAGTTTGTTTCGCTTCACACCTGAGTCACATGTTTGTCTTATTTTGCTTGTATGATGCGTACCAACATTCCAGTCTATGGACTGAGGTCATTAAGCGCATGGGGAAACCCAAGATCTAATACCTGCTAATTTTGAATCTTAACGTTTAATTCCACACTAAAAACGCTTGTATTTTAGTTTGCGAACTCCATACTTTCCTCTTTTAATCTCAGTAAAGCCTACCTCGCATTTACTGAATTTCGTACTTTTAAATACTTGCCAAGTTAATACTTGACTGGTAAGTTCAGATGCTCCACAACTTTTTCGCCATGCTGTTAATTAGTAATAAGCGCATTCTGTGAATTATCCGCATAAAGTAGGGCTAAAGTATTAACACTGTCGACATCGGACACGGAGTATCAAGGTAGCCGTGTTGATGCATGCAGTAATTCGAGTAAAATTTGTCTTGTTGCCCAATATCCAGGTCACATATCATTTCATTGTGATGACCACTTCACTACTTGTACTATTAAACTAGGGATAATAAGATGGTAAATTGTAAAATTGCATCAGGATAGTTCCCAGCACGTCGGTGGTACATACGTATATTTCCTAGTGAATAATTTTTCCTCCTACATAGCCATGTAAAACAATTGTTAAGTGTTAACGTGAGAGCCTGTATCCGGGCATATAATCCTGCGAGCCATCATTCAAATTTAGTGATAGTTATTAGTGGAAATAGATGGTAGAGCTTCAGCTAAGGAAGCCAGGCTTAGCAGTAAAATTTTAAACATGAATCGATTAAAGTGGTCAAGATCGTATATGTTCAGAACCATTTACAGTTTGCCTCCTAAAGTGAGGATTTCATGGATAAGTGGCAGCTACGAAGTGCTTTGGGATTCCTTGGGAAATATTAATCTATGGAATGTCTGCTTATACTACATCGAGTTACAGCTTTCCTGATTAGCACCTACAAGAGGAGTCACCAATTGAATATTTTGAGTGTAAAAGCTCTACTTAGTCTGCAGTTATTTCTAAGAAACTGGCTACTTTTCTGTTGGTCAGTTACCAACGTGGGGCCCGGTCTAATGTTTACCACTTCGAGTTGCTGCACATTAGTACACTAAGGAATGGAACAAACGATTGGGTACTAATGCCAACTTCATCGTAAGTTTAAGCACTATATCAACTGTATTAACGCAACAGACGGAAAGTTTAAAATGGGATTTATTTAAAATTTAAGAGAGATATGGAGAATCGATGCGACTAAACTATTTGAACCAGTTCTGAGACATCACTTTACATTTTTTCAGTTTACCAATTAAACGATTATAGTGTTATGGGAAGTTTGGTGTTGCTTAGCTTGTCCATATGTAATAATACTCAGCATACGTTAGAGATCCTGATGTTGAAGTGGGGTTTGATTGTTAGGTAGTGAAGAGACTTGATCACATTGTAAATTATCTACATTACAATAGCCTGTTAATCCAAGGTTGCTAGCTCATTCTGTAAGTTAGAAACAAAAAGTAACGCGTATATAACCTCTGCCAGGGAAGTCCTACTCACTGCCTTCTCGCGTCGGGGTTGTTTACGAAAATGAGAGGATGAAAAGCGAATGTCCGGCGCTTTAACCGGACCGGTGGACATGGCGAGTCCATCTATGGGAATTGGAAAACCGTGATTCCGAACCAACGGTGCACATGGGCTGCAGTATCGTGAAGGAACAATGGCGTATGAACCAGTCGTTGGTCACCGGCTACCGTGGGACGGCATCTCCTTACGATGCTCCACTGCCTTGTGGATCAGACTTTCAGGTCGAAGGCTCCGGGTTTGGCCCCCTAAGGAAACCACCTACTTCGGTTTGGGCACCCGGGCAGTGTCACAGCCCTCACACATCAAGTAAGATTTGTGTGACGCATATGTATTTGCTGCCTCCTTGTACCAATATCTGTGTTAAAATAAGTAATAATAACAAAACTTCACTCAGAGTGGAACAACCACGAGTGTATGGTGAATTTTACGTTGCTACCACGTGTTACTTCACTGTAATTTTAATTGTAACTCGATCTGCTTTTATATCACTGAAAAGGCGAACAGTAAAGTCGAAGCAAACAAACATTGGCATTTTAAAAGTATAAATCAACACGAATAAGTCATGGAAAAATTGATGATAATTCTTAATTTATTTCCTCAGTTCTTCTAAATCATATTTTGTGAATTATTTAATCTTTCTGTAATATCTAACTAAATAACTGTATGGAAGCAAAACTACGTTTTTTTCATGATGTTGGTTCTGTTGTTTGTATCATATTTAGCAACCTGCACAAAAGTCGAGCTGAATATACGACCGGAATAGCATTTTTATTGCCTAGTATATATGTGACATTTAAGATTAGAGCTGATGCATTTTTGTTATAACTGGCCGATAGTAAATTCGGCAATCAATCACATCATTTTAAAGCATAAAAGAAATTGATTCAAGGTACGTACCGAAGCCTTGCTCTTGATTTTCTTTATAAAAGAAAAGTGCGAGTGTAGAGAGAATAGATGATATTGACGAGGATTGACTGTAGCCTTATCTGATAAACTCATACTTCTTTACTGCTACGTAATGGAATTAATAATATTGATATTGACGAAAATACTTCAAAAACGTATTCGTTATAAGGACATTGTTTCTAGTGAATGACGGAATTAACTTGAATTTCTTATGTTTTACATAATGATACTAAGTGATTCTTTTGTGAACTTGATTTATTGGTTGGGGTATAATCCTCTTGTTCCGATTGGGTCAACCATTCGTTAACACAAAGTAAGTGGTTTAGTTTGACAGTTTACATGGTTACTAAGCCGTATATCTATGTGTACACAGAAAATGATAATATTAAAGTTGTATGCTAAAAGTACTGATGGGCTAATAGTGGAGTTATTACTGTTATCTTTGTTGATTTATGAAGGCTATTTAAATTTACTATATTCAGTAGTTCCTAAGCTTCCACATGATAACTAGTTGACTGACCCGCAGCATATGTAATTAACTTTACCATTCACAGTAATTAGCAATTGAAACAGCTTCATTTAAAAATAATTAATCTCGACTTCTATAATAAATTCCTGAAGTAGTACTTGTGCTCAGAATTATTGGTGTTGACAAATGTTTTTGTCTTATGGTAATGTTGGGAATTTTTGCTTCTATTCTATAAGTTATTTTTATATTAGTGTAATCCATTGAAGTTTCCCGAACCATATGTCGTCTTGACTGATATGATATTTAAGTCATTTAAGTGGTTGAAACACTTGACTTCTAAAAAGCAGACCATTATTCCAAATTTCGTTCAACTGACTTTGTTTCAGGCAACAGTTTGTGTTTATATATGTGTTTTATGATTTTGTTTTTGGTCTTATAAAATTATTTGATGGTGAGGGAAATATCTTTGTGACCCACTTTGTCGGGTTTATCTCTTATTTTTTCGGTGACTGTTGGCTCTTGGATTTTAAACGGCTTCCGATATCATATTAGTTTTGATTAGCGTTATGTGATGCTTAAGTCAGTTATGAGGTAGGGAAACAACTTCTAAATACTAGATCGCTGCGTGTAGACTGCAGCATTACGTTGAAATGTTTCTAGTTTATGTTTATTTGTTGCCACAACGAACTAAAGTTATTTTGAAATTTTTTATCTCTGTGGTGCGATTTAACTAAATATGTTATGTACATATAGCCAGTATACAAATCGTCTAGTTGGAATATCCTTTTTAGACATTATGGTCCGTCAGTGAGTGAGGTTTAGATAGCTTTAGCTCATTCGCAATAACCGACAGCTAGTTTTTCCTAGCGTTCTGATTTTCTGGCTGAAGATATTCTTATAATTTCATTTCTTAGACGTTTTGGTGGTGGTGTTTATAAAATTAGAGTTATTAAGTGTTGTAGTAACAAGTGTACATTATTAGTTGATTCTAATTCTATCAATTTTAGGTAAAAATTTAATCATTCAAAATACAACCACTCATTTTAAAAGTAAAATGTTTATTTCCACTGTTCAAATC